TGGTATACAAAAGAGGGTGACAACGTGACGGGACAATAATGTGTGTATAGATAGTGAGTAATTGAACTGCAGTCAGAAGTATTGTTGACGTTCGTTGATATAGCGTTTGTTTTAGCGTGATTGTTGAAAATAAGTGTATCGTAAAGTTGTATTCGGAAAGAATAAACCAGTTTTATTAAGTAAGGATTCGTGTCGCTAAAGTTTCATCGGAACGAAGTTACGGAAAGTTAATTAACGAACGGAGACGTAACAGTATATATAAGTTCAATGCCTTGTTTTATTTAGGCAAAGAAGTTTTGTTTGACTAACTTAACTTGTTATAAATTGCTCTTTACAGAAACGATTACTGATTTTGATTAACAGTTAATTTGTATAACCTATATGTATATGTGAGCTCAAAAATGTTTACACATATCGCCGAAAATTCACTAATATGACCAAATTTAATGTAGGCTTGTCTTTGCTACTGGTATAATACAACTCGCTTTACATATTTCAGAGGTGTGTGATAAGTCATGTTTCCTAGTTGAATTAAGTACACGACACAGTCCAGTTACACATAGACATAATGTTCAAAAACTCACGGAAACTGTAACTTGTTGACATAGCACTCTGCGACCAATGTTGATATATTGTTCTACTTGAAGGTAGCTAAAAAGTCGATTGATAAGAGAACATATTATCGCAATCCTTCATCATAATTACGTTCTTTTTCAACAACTACAGGCAACAGTATGACACTTGACAGAAATAATTTGGCAAGTTATCAAACAAAACTTGCCGTTGCATGTGCTTATAGTGAAGGGGTTAAAAGGATAATAACCTTTTTGACAATGAAACATTTTGAAACGGTAGAGTGCCATAAAAGCTGAAGCAGTATAATGCAGTCATCCTTTCTTTAGCTTGACATGTGTAATTAAATTAGTGAACAAATTCAAGAGCCCATTTGACTAAGTTTATATTAAAATATGTGGCATTAATTCATTTCACTATTTTGATTTTGGCCTGAATTTTTTCTTAATAAACACAAGTTCGAACAAACTAAACGTTCATAATACATAATCTTGTACATAGGTAGGTCTCTGGGCTGCCTGCATTGACCATACGTAATTTTGTACAATAGACAAGTCTCTGGGCTGCCGGCATTGACCATACGTAATTTTGTACAATAGACAATTCTCTGGGCTGCCGGCATTGACCAAACGTAATCTTGTATATAAGTAGGTCTCTGGGCTGCCTGCATTGACCATACGTAATTTTGTACAATAGACAAGTCTCTGGGCTGCCGGCATTGACCATACGTAATTTTGTACAATAGACAAGTCTCTGGGCTGCCGGCATTGACCAAACGTAATCTTGTATATAAGTAGGTCTCTGGGCTACCTGTATTGACCATACGTAATCTTGTATATAAGTAGGTCTCTGGGCTACCTGTATTGACCATACGTAATCTTGTATATAAGTAGGTCTCTGGGCTACCTGCATTGACCATACGTAATCTTGTATGATGAACCTTTAAATGGAATCATATCATTTACTAGTTCCAAAGTAAACACATCCAGACTGTTATTAGTAAACTTATCTCAGTGTTGTGTACTCTGAAGGATGTGCTTTATGTACAGTGTGAAATGCAACAGTGAGCGTGCTGATACTCTGAGTTTTATGTTCTCAATCTTCTTAATTTTTTCATGAAATTCTTCTTGAACCAAAAACAATCTCTCCTACTTCCTAACTCAGTTAGGTCTGTCTGCTGAAGCTGATCCTACACTGTATAAAAGCGGCAGTGAAATATATATTTATGTAAGTTAATTAAATTTTGAAATAAAACAAAATTTTTATTTAATCGAACATAGTTCGTTTCTTTCTTTTTTTTAAGTATAATATGACAACTTCATTTTTACCGTTACGAACGCCCTGCAGAATGCTCCGGACCCCTGGGGTCCGAGAATCACGAATTAAGAAATATGGTATTAGGAAATACCAAACATACAACATGAAACTCAGTTTCTTCTATTTAAATTCTAATGACTTTCCACCTTTGGAATTACTATTTTCAGTTCTTGGTTATGTATATCCAAGAACTGACAAATAGCCCCCCCCCCCCCACAGTGGCACAGCGGTATGTCTGCGGACTTACAACGCCAGAATCCGGGTTTTGATACCCGTGGTAGGCAGAGCACAGATAGCCCATTGTGTAGCTTTGTGCTTAATTACAAACAAACAAACAAACTGACAAATAGCAATAATAGCTCGGGAATTTGCTTAAAACTTTAATACAACATTCAGGCAAAAAAACACCATAAAATAGAAGACATATTCTTGAAACAACACTCAAAGCCTTCCTTTTCAATAGTTAAGACCACTCAAACATTTATAATAAGCAAAATAAGCGAGCTCATTATAGTAGACAAAATAAAAATTTGCCCATTTGTTTACGTTATTACTATTAATATTACTGCTTCACACGTCTACATCAACTTCAGCTGGGTATTTCGCACCAAAACTAAGAAAGATATACTATATGAAGCGCTGCGAATGTTCATGACCTATTTAAAAGTTGATTTACGTAGTTATAAATACATAATACATGCAATGTTCTTCTCAGCGATTGCTTTTGTACTCGACGATGTTACACTCGTGTTTACACGAAACCTCAGGCACAAAGCCACCTGGCTCAGTATACTTTAAAAGACGCGAATTTTTATTTAATTAAAGCGAAGTTTTAGACGTATTTGTTTTATATGAAAAGGTTGCTTGTTACTGGTAAAATTTAAACGCGCTTAGGGGGGTTATGTCTCACTCTAAGCATATATTTGCCTATTGCTGTGCATTAAAAAAGCTAACATACAAGATAATTAAAAACTGAGAATTTAAGATCTACAAATAGAGATCGCAAAAAAAGTAAGCAAACAAGGTTTTAGATCTACTGCTGACAGTTTGCTTAAGCTACAAATCCCTATTATGACTTCATTATAAAATTATTTCAAGTGATATATGCTGTAGTGTGGGATCGCATAAAAATTTTGCAAAAAAACTGAGAGAGTAGTTTTAAACTTAATTCGACTTCTTCAATTTTGTTCTGCTGCGAAATTTTCTAAGTCTTTCACTTTCTACCATCAAAAACTCCAGTCTTTTCCTAGCGTGCGCGTTAGTTGGAAACTACAATTTCTGCATTTTCTAGCGCATTAATTGGAAACTGCCACGTGAAAGGTTCCCGATTTTGCTGTTGCATATCATCACGCACGTACGCATGGGGGTTTCGGTCAAACCTCCCTATTTTTGTGACGTAAAAAATATGCTTATATAGTTATAGCACAGTTGCTTATGGTATTTGTCATTTTCTACATAGTCTACATTCTTCTGATGAAGCATTAGCATTTTTTGGCTTGAAATAGTCACATGCAATGGCTTCTGTTGTCACTGTAATTTGAATTCCGAAGCAGTATTGCTAATGTCAGATTTTGCAGGCCTAATTCTGTACAGTAGGTGTCTGTCACTTGTCGTCAATAAAAGTCAACAATAAATAAACAGCCACACACTCTACTTGTTTTAAAATAATATATTAAAACAAGTCAAACGTTTGATAACTTTCATAGGATGTTTGTGGATTTTATGTGAACAGACATGCAGTTGTTTAAGCTATATATTGGATGCAAAATTGCTTGCAGATTTATATCTCAAATCACCTATTTTTTACAAATTTTCTGGGATGCATGCCCCAGACCCCCCGTAGCATTAGCATACTTTGCATGTTGATTATGCTTTGCACAATATGTGTTGGCTTTTGAATCACAAATTAGAACTTCCCTTTCAAACATTCTGCGTATGGGCCTGATTGTCCCTCGAGTTTGCTGTCTTTACGTGGATTTCCGCGACTATATTTCAGCATGTTTTTCACAATGAACGGTTACCATAGTAAATTTTCCTACTTAGGCTACGGTGATGATTATTTCAACTTTTTCTTATACTTAGCTGAAATCGTGAATGCGTATTCAGTATTTATTGCCACTGCATATAGCACAATTTCAAATAGCTATTGGTATTTTTAAATAGATGGTGTTAAGGTAGCGGTTGTAAATGTTGTCAATAATTGGTGATTTACCCTAAGTGTGTGTGTTTGTCTATTTGTGTCACCTTATTCTAGCAAACACTTGTGCACAGCAGGCTGTTGAAGAATGTACATATGTGTCATGTTACTGAGTCTGTTTACAGTTCATTAATCTGTGTTGTATTATCTTAGAAGATACATTATTTCATTCTGATGAGATTGCTTTGTTGCTGCTCATCTTTTGTTACATTACACTGTCACAGTGTGACATTGATGGAAGCTGGTCGTTAAATCTGTGATGATACAATCTTTGCATTGAAGAGGGTCCTTTGAGAACAACTTTACATTTTGTTTGTTGTGGTTGCATACCAGTATATGTGTTTATTCTTTTTTGTACATTTGTAATTAATTTTGAATAAGTTCAGGGTGGTGGTTGGGTGAAAAAAGCCAATGCAGCAATAAACTGTTGAAAAACATGTAACATTCAACTGAACACATATGCACGTATGTTGCTTTAAATATATTCTCCATAAATGGACATAAAACTTAGGAAAGAAGATTAGTAAAAACTGTTAATTTAAAAAAGGAGAAACAGAAATCGTCAAAAAAGTACAGAAACAAGTTGAATAAAAATAAAAATATAACATTTGCATTTTGAGTCAACTTGTTTCTGTACTTTTTTGACAATTCCTATTCCCTCTTTTCAGTCATACTCTTACGAAATAGAACTTTAATAACCAAAGATGTTTAACTTACTTGCAAACATGTGACTTAGTACCTAGCAATTTAAAGTTTCACCACCAGAAATTCAACTGCACGATTAGAAAGTACATATAAAAATTTAAACAATGCAACTTTAACCATTGCGCACATTACTTTTTTTTATATTAGGTTGGGTATAAGTATACAAACAAACATAAAATTATAAAGCATGTATGTAATCTAGATAAACCTGAAATTCCAATCCATGTCTTTCTCTGCAATATTCCTTAATTCTGGGGTACACTTCTTCCATCAACGTGTTCCTCTCCATTGACATGTCTATGATATCAAATAAAAATATCAAGATGAGTACACTGTAATTATAAACACAAGCTCAAAAGAAGCCATATAGATCTATATGAAATTTGATGGGCTTATAAAAAAACCAAAACACCTTAAGCTTCCTACACTATGAAGAGTTATTGTCTGTGTAGATACTGCCTCTTCAGCATTCTGGCTGGTTGTCTCAGAAAATTCACTTAGCTCAAATAGCTTTCTGTCTCGTTAATCTTAGGATCAACAAACTATCTTAAGTGTGTGATAACCAAGTGAAAATCAGATATAATGCCTATATTGTACTGTAAACTCCAGTTGATAGATTGGAGAGCAGAGATTTTCACTTGCTCTTGCTATTGACAGATAGATAAGTTCATTCAGCTCTTTTCTGCTCGTCAGATGAGTTGAGATGGCTTGAGATGACACCCTCGTCTTCCTTTGACTCTTTTAGTCTCAACCTCAGACTCCTGGTCAAGCCAGTGCGTGGGAGGTTCACTTGTAATGTATGGATGCAGCTTATAGACACTATTCATCCATTTTAGCATGCCTCGAATCCACTGTAACTCGTATGTCAATGGACCAATCAGTCAGCTATAGCATAATGTATGAACTTGTCCAGCAGGATTAAAGTTGCTTCCATGCTGCTGGCTGGTATAGTAGAAAAACCCAGTTGACACAATGGTATATCTGTTCCTTGACCATCTTGTGATCATAACACTCCTTCTGACATTTAGTAGTATCTCCTAGCTGTTGATGGGCAAACTCATTCACATTGACAAATGCTGACCTTAACCACTCATTATATTGCTATGGACTTTGTAGAATATCCGATTTAGGAGAAGAACCATATATAACAACAAAAATAAGTATGTTTGGCAAATGGCCTGAAGACATGTGCTCAGTTGCTCTGTAGGTCATCATAACGTATAGTAAGTAATCATCCCAGTCAGTCTAGCCAGGAATAACAAACTTGGCAAGCATGAATTGGTTATTTTGTGTTACTTGTTCTGTTAAACCATTAAAATGGGTGTGATAAATCAAATTTTGCCTCTTCACTACACCTAACACTGTACACAGCTCAGGGAACAACTGTCTGCCTAAATTAGCTCCTTAATCTATGTGGATCTCTTCCATCACTCCAACAACACATCAGCTAACAACTGTCATGATGTATCAGCCAATGAATAAGTTTAGGCTCAGGTGATGAAGTAGTCATGGACGAAGAACCTCTCTCAGTTTCTAGGAGTGAACCAGTAATATTCAGAGCTATGCTCTGTAAAGGACATCAAAGAATTATTTTATGTAGTTTACCTTGCCCCAGCTGGTTCCTTCTATGGGCAGCACGCTATACTGTATTCAAACTAGTGCTGAACATTTTGATTTAAGTTGGCCAGAAGAATTATCCTTGAATGTTAGCACAAGCAATGGTAACATTTTGATGCTCTCCAATCTTTCTGAACTTCTTGCTTTAGAATTATGGGGACCATTAGCTACAGCACAGTTTGAGCACCATGATACAGTGGTTGATAACGATGATACAGCACACATTCCTACATTCTTAACTAATAATGCAAGTTCCACATGTTACTTGTATCTATGCAACATTCCTCTATTTGTGCTGGCCATGTTTTACCTTGCTGCATGGCAAGGAACATTCATGCTAAATCTGAGTCCTTCATTTGCTCTTTCAGGAGCTCTTGGAGTGCTAATTGTAGTATTCATCCAATTGTAGAATCTCCTACAGCATGAATTGACATTGTTATTGTGGAAGTAGTTTCAACTACACAAATTCCACAAATGGACAGTGCCTCATCATGCTTTGAAACAATCTGTCCACGTTTCCATGTTGCAGGCCTAGGTGATACATTACAACAAAGTAATATTATTATAACCTTGTTATCCAACATGTTATTATCCCTTCCAGATTTTTAAAGTTCACTAACCATTTCAGTGAAGCATGGTTCATTGGGATGATGAACCTCCGACCAAACAAGTAATTTTTGTAGTGTTTAATTAAGACTACAACAGTGTTTGCATTCAGAAACTGCGATTGTACAAGTATCATGCATGATTAAACATTGTACTTTACCTGGAACTGTGGTAACATGGTTCTATTATCCCTGGAAGTAGTATACAATAGGAATTCATTGTCTGTTCTAGTAATAGAGCTTCCACTAAAGCCAGCTTTAGACATCATAATGCTTGTTCATATTCCCTTTTCTATCTAAAGTGTATCTCAATTTTAGTAAGAGCAAACAATGGTGCTGTTGCCTTGGAAGAATTGTCTACAAATCATTAGTAATATAACACAAGGCCAAAAAAACTGTGGAATTCTTGCTTGGTCATAGGCTTGGCTGGTACTGCTGCTCTTGGCATGATCTGTAGATATTCCATCTTTCCTTGCAATATGAATAAAATATTCTACTTCTATGTTGATAAGCATACATTTCAGGGTTTTAGTTTCAAGCTTAGTTTCTTTATTTACCGAATACCATTCTCAGGTTGTCAGCTGTAAATTCGAATGTGTTACCAAACATCAAAGCATTGTTGACATAGACTAGGCATCTCTCCCATTGCAGCCTCTTCAGTGTACGTCATAGTAGCATCTCTAAATGACAGGTGCATTACACAGGCCAAATGGCAGAGTGCAGAACCCATACAAGCATTCTCTCATGCTAAAAGTAGTGTTAGGTCTGCCCTCGTGATACAGCTTGACTTTACAGTACCTAGATCCTAGATCTGAAGTATTAAACCAATGAGATTCTTCCAATACATCCAGATATTAATCTGTTTGTGGCAAGAAAAGACACCAGTGTGTTATCACATTATCATGTCTAATTTCAACACAGAATTTTGTCATATCTTTCTGCTAATCACAACTGGAGAAAACTACGCACTCTTCAACATCTGCTGTATCTCAGCACTGGCTACATCTTTGGTGCTACAGGGAAGCCAGTGCAGTGAATGCTTGAATGAACATGTATCATATGTATATATGTTGTGGTGAGTCATTGTTGTTCGACCAATCAGCCATATGGTCTCACAAATACATAATCACACTCATCCAACAAGTCACTGAGATGCTTTTGTTTCACTGCATTGAATTTAGATTGTATACACAATCCTTAAGCGACAGTCTTAAATGTGTTGGTAGCCAGGTATTTACTTTTGGATGCAGTGGAACGGACGCAACCCTAGTATTACTGCTAGCCTCGATTACTTCCACTTTTTTACTGCATTAATAACTATTCCAATATAAAGCTGGACAGTCAATCATTCATAGATACTAAACAATATTGAGACTTTACCCCTTCTTGGGCAGATAATTGCTGAAGCTAATGTTGCTTGCTTTCTGGATTAAAAACGGGTTCTTTCATATGTGGGATCTGTAACTTTAGGCTTCGTTCATAGTATAGCACGGAACACCATTTATATACATGGAGGAAATGTTATTTCCTCTATTACATACATTTGTGCAATCCACTGTTTCTGGGCTTGAGCTGGCTGATATTGTATAATTTCCCAGGAAACATTAGTTTATAAGTTGATCAGATGAAATAAACCTATAATTTCCATAATACAGTCATCTCGAGGATGCCACTACCAGAACTGAGGCTGGAGGTGACTACCTTTGTTTTGTGGGCAATATCTCCTAGACACGTCTGGAGATCTACCTCTCCACTCATGCCTAGTCTATCACCATTTAACAGAACAAAATCAGCATCCACTGGCTGGAGTGGTGGTCTCAATTCGTTGAATTGATATAAGATCTACCAGTGTTCTGGCTGCTCTTGTGTCAACCAGAAACTCAATCTCATACTTTTGTTCTCTCACGGGTAGGTATCAAACTCTATTCATTCTTGATAAAGCTGGGCTGACCATTACATTTTTAGCATAAACTGTCTCCTATGCTCCACCAAGTCAGAGGCTAAAACTGAAATGTTAATATGGGTAAATATTAGTCCAACATTAAATAAATAAATAAATAACAACATACCACGACTAGCTAATTTGTTTTGTAATACCTTTCACTTCACCAGGAAGTTAAATATAATTCGATTTCTAGAGGTAGTTGGAAGACTGTATAGCCTCAAACTCTGTTTACGGAATTCAAGAGCGTAAGCATATGTTTGTGTGTAATGTTTTTAATAGATTTAGTTTGAACTTTCCGTTATAAAGTTTATTTATTTACTGCTTAAACATATGCTATCGTGGTACATTATGATGAAAATTCGTGTTCTTCTTACTCTCGACTTATTTTTTTTTATATATATTGACAAATGAGTAATCGAAAGTCTACTTGGTTAAACTCCACCCAAAACTACTCAAGAGATATCTGCAATAACCATCTCTAATTTTGAGGTAACAGGCTAGAGGGAAGGCAGCTAGTCAACACCACCCGCCGTCAACTCTTGGACTACTCTAATTGAATAATAGGATTTTTTTATTTAGAATATCCTGAATCATGTACCCTTTGAGAGTGGTTGGTTTTACGAATAATTTGTCGTGATAATTGGGTCAAGTAAAATGATTCAGATATGGCTGTAGAGCCTTCCAAAGAGGATCTGCAGATATATTAATATAGTTATGACATTGCCACGACGTTATCGCATATTAGCGGATATTTCTTAAGCTTCACTAATTAACAGGAGGACTAATTTTGAATTACATAAAAAAAATAGTAAGTTGTGATTATGTGTTGAATAGTGATTTTGTGGATTCGTGCATCTTTCTCTGACTAGTGTTCCTGATTTTGATTTTAGTTTGTTTAATTGCACATATAAGATTGACTAATTTAGAAATATTCATGTAAGAGAGTCAATGAATTTTAACTAACCTATGCTCAGATACTTCTGTATGAGGTGACAAGCAAAATAATGGATGGACTGTTTAGAACAAGTGAAGAATTACACAGGTGCTCCTATTTATAAAGTTTCAGGTACTGGCGTCTCTTATTTAATGTATATGTCTGCATAGAATAAAATATGCATGAAAGTTCTGTG